GTTCTTCACTAGGAAACCCAACAACCAGTAGCTGGCAGCCAAGGAGTGTGCTCATGCCGTAATTCCGGATTGCGACATGCATCCCTTGCAAATCCATGGGTAGAACAAAGAGAACGTGCCGATGGCCTTGGCAGGAAGTAGGACTGCTGTTGAACAGCAAGCAAGGCTATTTATGACTTGAGTGAGAAGTTGGTGGGGTCAAACGAAGGGAACATGCTGGTAGATGCGGAATGCCACTGATTAGCATCGATATGAGAGATATTGCCCTCTGGCAAGTGGTGAGATATTGTTCAATGATGGCAGCTTTCCGGTGTTGTGTTTGGCGTGCATGATGATGATGATAAGGGCCCAGAAGAGGCAGAGCACATCGCTGGAGAAACAGCCAAGAGCAATTAGGGAGACATGATGAGCGTGGTGATCTTGGTCTTGTGCCTGCCGAAAAGGGCCCGCAGAGAGGGAGAGGTGATGACAGGCAAGGTAGGGAAAGTAGGGGGAAGGACAGGAGGATGAAAGCTGCCTGGTAAGTTTCCCAGTACAAAAAGAGCCAATTCACTGTCCTTAGGCCAACCCCACCAGCATCATCCGCCCCCACCCACCTGCACCATGTTCCTCCCACCATCCACCTTGCCCCATCCCCCTCTCCCTACCATCCATCTCCCCAAATGGTACACATAGGTGATGGAGGAGAGAGGAACTTTAAGGGTGCCCCATGACAGAACTGGTTGGCCAATAATGTATTGCGCAATAAACTTAGGGGTAGCCAACAATACTGAGGGGTTTGAGGGATGATGGATGTTGTGGGCAACCAATGATTGGTTCCCCGTCAATGCGGCCTAAAGCGATTGGGGGTGTCCCGAACAAGAGTGTACACCCAGAAATGGGTTTTACACTTCAAGCTGTGGTTTACATACAAAGTGATGTTTTTTGGGGGTATTTTTAATGCCCACCCTTTCGTGCGGCCTGATTGGAGAATGAAGTCAGCATGTTTCAGAAACACCGCAGCAGACGAACTCAGACAAGAAAAGCGAATCCAGCCCAATTTCGTGCTGACGCGTGGTTTGGGGGAGGGTCTCCGGAAGGGCGGGAAACAACCTGGTGAGTTCGGTTTCGGGCGGAAAGAAACCCAACCCCCTCTCTCCACCCCCGTCAACCGTTAGCTTTGCATGAAAGGGGCCGAGTCCAAAAACTAGTCACCAGGTTTTCAAGTGATAAACTAAGGCCTCCCGCTCAAGTATGTAGACCGCAGCTTTAAATGAGATTGTGCGCACGACGTTACATAACTGAACCACAACGCATGCGGTGATTGCTCTGGGCCAAAAAAATAGTTTCACTGCCCTAACTCATCCCCCCACCCTCTTCCTCCCCTTTCTCCTTTCCGTACCCTTTCCCTACAAAACTACCCTTCCCCCTTCTCCCCCCAACCCCCACCTCGACTCCACCCTTCTCCCCCATTCTCCCCCCTCTCCCCTCTTCTGCCCCCACCCACTTGTGCCTCTCGCACAATGGTTATGATTGTGACAATAAATGAATATCTATGATGAATATCTTTAGAATAAAGATTCCCCCTCCCTTATTGTCAGTACTCCTCTCATATTATCACATCATATATCCTCATAGTCTCTTACTCTTTCGTGATTCCTCTTTCAAGTATCAAATAACCCAGCCCATTACCCCTCACTCACTCAAAAACATCTCCTCCTTCCTCTGCCCGCTCCTCCTCAAAAACCGCCACGGGGCACCCAGCAACGCAGCCTCGCCCAGCCTCGCCCAGCTAGGTGTGGGAGAATTAGGTGCGGAGTCGGAGCAAAGCTGGTGAAAAGGGAGGAGAGGGGGGGCGAGTGGGGGGGAAAGGGGAGAGGGAGAATACGGTAAACCACACAGAGACACATGAGAGGGGTGTGGGAGACAGTGTGTCCAGGCAGTAGGGGCATGAGTCGGTCAGGCAGATGTCAGTGTAAGAGAAGCAGGTGTGGTGGTAAGAGGAGAGGGGTGGGGGGGAAAGACAAGGGAAGAGGGTAATAGGTGGTGAAGGGAAGGTGCGATGCAGCCTGGGCGAGGAGTGCACAGTGCCCATGTTGCCTGTCACGCCAATTTTGGCAACCATGGCAAGGAGTGTGCTTGATAGCCCACCGGTTCCCCTTGAATAGTGCACCAATCTACGCGCCAATCTAGGGGCAGCCTCAGCAGCCCGCAGGATGCTGTGAGCCGTGCGCTCGTGTTTCATTGGGGAAGATGTGGGTGGGTGTAGGAGAAGCAATGGTGGTGCTGGCGGGGGAAGGCGAGGGGGAAGGGGGAGAGAAAGAAGGAAATGGAGCAACGGCTTCTGAGCGGGATGTGGGAGGGAGACAATGCTGTAGGGGCGTAAACCTGTGGGCTGGAAGCTGGGTGTAGTAAAAACAGGTGCGAAGCTAGGGGGGAGGGAAGGGTGGGAAGGAGGGTAGCAGTGTGCTGATGAGAAGGATGTGGGAAACAGTGTCGTAGGGGCGTGAGTCTGTGGTCGAGAAGCAAATGAGCTGGGGGGGAAAGGGGGATAAAAGGGAAAGAGGTTAAGGTGACGGGGAAAGGGGAGGAGAAGGGGTAGTACTTGGTTGATTTATGTGTGCTTGCTTGATAGGGGCAGATGTCAGAGGGTTAGTAGTCAGTGCTGGATACACATACGAATGTGAAGCTGGATGGACAGGATGGGGTGGGAAGGACTGGGGGCCAGACGGGAAGGGGGAACCAGGAATTGGGAGAAGAGAGGAGGTTGGTGAGGAGGATGGGGGAGTGAATGCCACCTTAACTACTACCGTAGTTACAATGCAACCACATTCTCAAATCCGCTGCCCTACCACCAGCTCAGCTCCCTCCGGTGACTCTCACAACTGTCCCCATAGCGACTCATCAATTCCCGTGCACCATCCAGCTAGTTAACTGCCCGCTTCCCACTGTCACCAACAAGTGACTCAAATGACTCCTACACGGCTTTACCCCGCTCCCCTCCCCCCTTCCCCACCCCCAATGCCCGTCTACCCATTATACCCTTACCAACACCGCTCATCCTTTGTGGCCTCCGCCAGCCCCAGCCCCCCCTTCACTGCCCCAAACCCCCTCTTTACCCCCCTTCACCCCCTCCTTCACCCCCTCCTTCAACCCCTCCTTCACTCCCCACTTCACTGCTCCCTCTAGTCAACCTCACACACGCCCCTAACCTACAGAATCCCCTCACCCCGACCCCTCACCACTATTACACACATGCCCACCCCTTGCCGACTCTCACCTTCGTATGCAAGTCCATCCAAAGCTACACAATCAGTGGGAGTGCTGAAGTGGCACTTGTAAGGAGCCATGCAGAGCTAGAAATCTGGCCCTCACTTTCCCATGTTTGCTGGTGGCCTTAACTCTCTGGGCCTGTGGGGAGGCCGGAGCAGAGAAGGGCGGATTAGGACAGCATTAGCGGAAACGGTGGAAGGGGAGGGGGCGCGGAGCGAGGGATGGGGGGGGGGGGGGGGGGGAAGAAAGGAGGGGTAAGTGAGGAGTTGGGGTATGAGAGCAGTGGGGGTATGAGAAGTGTGGGAGATTTTGAGAGAGTGGGCTTCATGAGAGGACTGGAGGGTATGAGAGGCGAGGGGAGTATGGGAGGGATGGGGGTGTGAGAGGAGTGGGAGAGTTGGGGTATGAGAAAAGTGGGGGGAATGATAAGGTTGGGGGACAGGAGAGTGGTGGGGGGGCTATGACAGGTGTGGGGGTTTGGAAAGAAGTGGGTGGTTATTTCAGAATGCATATTTCATAATGCACCTCTCGTATTCGATCTCCAAAAAAAAATTCATCAGACCGAATACCTCTGCTGGTGAATACAGAATCTTCAGCACGAGTTTTAGAATGCTTCTCTCAGGTAAATATATAAGGTTGTAGCTCTGGGATTTAAGACTAGGTACCTAAAATGCAGGATACTTCTCTGAATGCATGACTTACCAACCTAAAGCACTCCCCAAAATGCTTCTCTTGACCATGTACTGAAACGATCGGATTGGAGCATGATCATGATCACCCCCACAACCACGACTCACTATTGTCGGCTAACGAGGGATAGGTGTCGTGGAGCCTGTTGGGGGTGCGAATCCCGAGGACCTTGGTCCTTTGGGCAAAGCTCTCTCTGGGGCAACCTTGGTCCAGACGTATGTCTGACCCAGGGTTCAGGTGAAGCCGAACAAACCCGCAAAAAAAACAAACAAAAGGTGTATTGTCGTCCTGGTAGCTTTGAAAGACTCTGACTTGACAATTCAGCAATCAGTGTACATCTACGTGTACTGACATTTAATGGCTTGTTCGGAAGAAAGATCTGAAATCACACTATCAAGAAAACAAAACATGTCGGTGCAAAGAAAGGCCAGAGAACACACTACCAAGAGACAAAGAAGAAAGAAAGCCGAGGCAAGGCAAGCAAGGGCAGAGATCATACAAGTGCAAGGCATGTACAAAGAAACCATACTACAAGTCCCAGAACAGCCCCATCTAGTCATTCGTCTCCCCTGGCACCTGCTTCACTAGTTGGGTATCAGCTTCACTGCTGTGGCACCAGCTTCAAAGGCCCCTTTGCCATCCAGTATCTGCCATCAGAGACATTGCAAGCACAATCAGAGCTCACTGCACATCTGCTTAGCAATGATCAGCCTACGGAGAATAACCTAGGCCCAAAAAGCAGCCGCCAAGGTTCCCCAGCGCCTTTAACCGAGCCAAGTCCACCCACCTCAGTCAGCTTCTAGCGAGCCCAAGGCAGCCAGCCGAATCAGTGCTCCTCCATTAGCTGCACCAAATTCGTAGGAAGTGAGCGTATGGTGGTGTCATGCAGTATCAGGTGGTGCAGTTGGGCTAGGGACTCCGGGAGGTGCGGCAAGGCTTCGCTGCCAATCAGCTCCAGCTTACGCAGCCGAACCAAGCGGCTCATGCCTTGAGGTAGAGACGCCAGCTGAGGCGCTTCAACCATAAGTGACGTCACCTTCGTAAGCTCCACAATGGTTTCAGGCAGGTCCTCCGGTGTCCAAGAAAGAAGGTGCAGCTGCCGCAGCTGTGGCAATGCCGCTGCCATGTTTACTGGGAGGCTGCGGATTCCCAGCGCCTCTATCAGCAAGTTGCGCAGGCGAGGGAGGAAAGCCAAAAAAAAATGGGAGCTCCCGATTGTCGTTGTGTAAACGCATCTCCAACTGCTCCAACTGCTCTAGCTTCTCCACCTCCTTCTGTAGCACGACTTGCTTCAGCTCTTCCAACATCTCCAGCTTCTCACTCGCTAAGCCCAGCAGGCAAGGGATGAAAGGCAAAAGAAGTGGGAGTTTTCGACCTTCTCCTTCGGAAAATAAGTCCAGCTGCTCCTCGCTCGACTGCTTCCAGCACAATGCAGCCGAGCATTTTACCCCAACGCGGTTCAGCTTCAGCACCCTCAGCTGCGACAGCTGCGAGATGTCCACCACATGGGAATCTCTCTAGGTGGGCCCCACGCAAAGGGTCTCAAGAGAGGATGGCAAACCATCAAAGGGACCCATCAGCTGCTTACACTCCGTCAGCACCAGCCTCTTGAGCCTCACGAGCATCTCCATTCCAGATAATATTGTACAGAGTACCGGGCAACCTCTGACCTCCAAGTTTTGAAGTGTCGTAAGCCTTGTCAGAGAGCTAGGAAGAGGTTCAATCTGAAGATTTATAAGCTTCAGCTCAAGAAGGTTGTTCAGCTCTCACAATCTTTCCGAAAGCCACTGAAACCTTCGGTCAAAGGCATTCAGCTCAAGGCTTGTTAAGGAAGACATGTCGTAGAAGGAATCTGGAAGGTACTCATTCTCGCAGCCATGCAACCTTAGGGCCTCCAAACTTGCAGGGGGCCCAAGGTCCTCTAGCAGGGAAAGACGATGCCTTGAGAAGCAAAATGCCTTGAGAGCCATGAGGCGAGAAAAACCTTCTACCACCTCAATATCGCCGCAATCAGACATATAGAGTGCCTCGAGGGACGTGAGATGGGAAAAAGGAGGGAGAGTGGTGTGAGGTAATTCGTCCAGCACCAGCAGTTTGAGGGCAGGCAAGTGACCAAAGTTGTAGGGGAAGGAGAAGTGATGACAGAGACAAACGATGAGCGTTTCCAAACATCTCAGAGAAGTTGAGCTTTCAGGCAGGGTATCCAAATGATGGCACTGGTGAACAGTCAGTTTGCAGAGGCATGGCAGTAAGTCTCCAATTTGGTCGGGAAGGGTCTCCAGCTCCCTGCAGTTGGTAATGAGCAACTCTTTCAGCCCCGTGAATGAAGATGCTGATGGGAAGATGTTGTCCCAATGGGGAGAGGACATCAGGAATTTGAGCGATTGTAAGCGAGAAGGCAGAGTCATGCTTGCAGCAACCCTCAGCAGATGTTTCTGGTTAGCGGCGAGGGTGGAGAGGTGGGCGAGTCGCGAGAGGTGAAGGAGGCTGGACAAGTGCGAAAGATTCCAGGGGAAGGCGATATACAGGGTGTTAAGGGCCGAGAGGTTTGTAAAACCGGGATTCTCCAAGGCGGATGCGTAGTTGAGAACAAGGTTACGAAGATGCCTCAATTGAAAGAAAGAAGCCGGAAATTCTGTTGCTTGGTGGGGGCGGAAGAGGGAAAGATCCTTCAGCAAAGGGAGCTCCAAAAAGAAGGTATTCAAGCCATCCGTGGATATCAAATGGTTCTCCGTCCTGCGATAGTAATGCTCAGAATTGACATCCTCCTCACTAACATCCTCCTCATTGGGCACTGCAAAGCTTCTTCTCACGTGGAGAGCCATCATGTTCTTGCAGGAAGACGCGAGGTGAGCGAGAAAAGCGTCATCTACCGCTTCTGTGAGGATCTAGGATCGAGCTCAGAAAAGAGAATTGTAATTGATTGATTCACCTGGGTACAACACGAGGTTATATGTAGTCTCGACACAATGCCAGTTACCCAGGTGTTACGCAAATATTCTGAGGGTCGCGAAGCATCCCGAACACAACCTTCTCGAACTCAGTAGAAAGCAATTCGGTGGAAATCGAAAAGGCTTGAGTTCGGTACACGTAACCTGGTTCGGTGCTATAACTGTAATAAAATATAGGAATGCACCTAACCTAGGAAATCAAGCATATCTATGCATGATAAAATAAACCCAAGCTAGATATAGCATAATAATTTCTATGCAAGCTAGCAAAGCCAGCATAAGGCGTCGTACTCTCAGACGTCCCCCTCTCAAAGCTGGGTGGTGTGAGAAGCACCATGCTTGACAAGATAGTCCTTGAGAGTACGGCGTGCGTTGCCCATATCAGCTTCTGCAACCCAACTGTCCTCAGTGGGGTCATATCCCTTCCAGCAGATCAGGAACTCGAGGGTCTTGCCGCCGCGGCGCCGATGAGTGTGAACGCGCTCCACTTTGTACTCGGGTTCAACCTGTATGCGAACAGGTGGTGGTGGCGGTAGTTGCCGTCCCTGGAACTGTTGGTTGGAGTCCTTGTAGGGCTTCAGTAGCTGAACATGGAAAGCGTTGTGAAGCTTCTGTCAGAATCCCAACCACTAGACCATTGGGATAAAAGAGCTTGTTTCAGTAGCGGGTCAATGCACCCATAACCCCCTAGGCGAACGCGCCTGTAACCCTCTCCAGGATCAATCGGGCATCAACAGTGCAGATCTACTGAGACCCCCCCACACTGGGATGCCCAGGACTAAGCACAGCGGCAACGGCCTACATGTGCATACACCGGGAATCGAACCCGAGACCGCTCTGATACCATGTCAGAATCCCAACCACTAGACCATTGGGATAAAAGGGCTTGTTTCAGTAGCGGGTCTGTGCGCCCATAACCCCCCAGGCGAACGCGCCTGTAACCCTCTCCAGGATCAATCGGGCATCCACAGTGCAGATCTACTGACAGCTTCCAAGTAGTAGGTAAGCGCAAGCGGAATGTAACTGGTGTCACCTGTGCCTCAACAAGAAAAGGACCAGAGAAGCGAGGTCGGAGTTTGGATGGGAGGTGAGACAGGTTCAAGTTGCGCGTGTCAAGAAGCACCTGATCTCCGACTGCTACTGAGTGATCACGTCGCTGACTATCGGCATACTACTTCTTGGAGGTCTGCATCGTGGTGAGTCGTCGCTGAGTCTTCTCCCATAGCTCCTGCATGGTGGTGACGAAGTCATGTGCGGCTTGGACGTGTGCCGGTGTAGTTGGCTGCTGTGGTGTGAGTGGTTCCCGTCCGTAACACAGGAAGAAAGGAGTTTTCCCTGTGGCCACATGTGATGCGTTGTTGTAAGCAAACTCTAGGGTCGGTAACTGTGTGTCCCAGTGGCTGACGTCGTCCTTGAAAGCTGTGCGCAGCAACTGTTCAACCACTTGATTGAGTCGCTCTCTCTGTCCGTCAGTCTGGGGGTGGTATGCTGAGAACATCGCAAGTTTGGTCCCCAATAATCACATGAGCTCCTTCCAAAACTTACTCGTGAATTTGGGATCTCTGTCTGAGATGAGTGTAGCGGGGATGGTGATGATGCGGTCAAATATGAGGAGAGCAGTTGCTTGAGCTGTAGCTGTGGCGTTGGTCGGGATGAAGTGACCCATTTTGGAGAACTTATCGATCACCACGAGGATGGAATCATGTCCCCATGAGGTTGAAGGATGTCCTGTGATGAAGTCGAGGCTAACGACCTGCCACGGCTACTCCGGTACAGGTAGAGGCTGAAAAAACCCTGCTTTTTTCTGCTTGCTACTCTTCATCCGTTGGCACGTGTCGCAAGAGGTGACGAACTGCTGCATGTCTGCTGCCATCCCGGGCCACTAATAATACTTTGCTATTCCCGCTAACGTCTTGTTGCTCCCGAAATGTCCCGCATATGTTACGTTATGAAACTCCTCCAATAGGATCCGCCGTAGCGGGGTGTAATTCGGTACCCAAATCTTTCCTTAACCCTTCCTTACAGCTAAGTCTTTCTCCCACTATAACAGCTTTTTGGTCTGTGCTGTAGTGATCTCTGCGTCCACAGAGTACCCATGTTGGAATAGACCCTTGAGCAGAGGGTTCATCCCGTCGAGCTGGATACCTGCTACATGACCGGGGCGGCTCAACGCGTCTGCCTTGTTGTGTAGCCCGGGCTTGTAGACGATGTCGTAGTGGAAGTGAGTTTCCAAGAAGTCCACCCACCGCACCTGTCGTCGTGAGAGCGTCGGCTGCGACTTCAGGTATTTGAGACTGCAGTGGTCAGTATAGACTGTAGTCTTGGCCCCCTCTAGGTAACACCTCCACGCCTTGAAGGCTATGACTATTGCTAAGGCTTCCTTGTCATGGATGGGGTAGTTCAGTTCTGCTCCGTATAGCTTCTTACTGAGGTAGGCGATGGGCTGCAAACCGCGTCCGTGATCCTGCATCAGTACTGCTCCGACTGCTTGGTCACTAGCGTCTGCTTCCACCACGTAGTCCTTGTCTGGATCTGGTAGGATGAGTACTGGTGCTGTATTCAGTGCTGCCTGTAGCTGCTCCATGGATTGCTGATGAGGAGTATCCCATTTGTAGGGCGTATCCTTTTTCAATAGGTCGGTCAGTGGCGCTGCTATCTTAGCATACTGCGGCATGAACCTCTTGTAGTAGTTGGCGAAGCCTAGGAACTTCTGCAACTTCTTCACGTTCTCCGGTACTTTCCACTTCTTGACGGCTTCGATCTTCCGCGGGTCCACGTATACGCCCTCGGCACTCACCATGTGCCCGAGAAACTGCACCTTCTTCAGTGCAAAGTCGATCTTCGACAGCTTCACGTAGAACTTGTTTTTCCGCAGGATCTCGAATACCTTCCGCAGATGCTCTACGTGCTCCTTCATGTTCTTGGAGTAGATGAGGATATCGTCTAGATACACTACTACGCACTCGTCCAGCAGGGTCCGTAGGATGTGGTTCATCTCTGCTTGAAATGTTGCTGGTGCGTTGCAGAGTCCGAACGGCATCACCAAGTATTCGTAGGAGCCGTATCTGGTACGGAATGTCGTCTTGTAGATCGAATTGTCGGCCACCTTGATCTGACAGTAACCCGACCGTAGATCCAGCTTCGAAAAGACTATTGTACCACGCAGTTGATCCAATAGCTCGTCTATGCACAGTATGGGGTATTTGTTTTTAACTGTCTGTTTGTTCAGTGCGCGGTAGTCGATGCACATCCGTAGACTGCTGTTTGGTTTTGGAGTGAAGAGGGCTGGTGCACCGTATGGAGAGGTGGATGGGCGGATCAGTTGTCAGTCCAGTAGATACTCTATTTGTTTCTTCATGTCTGTCTGTTCGGTCGGACTCAGTCGGTATGGTGCACGTGAGACGGGTTTCGCACCTGGTTCCTCCACGATCTCGTGCTCGTGGGTGCGTGCTGGAGGTACGCCTATGGGTAGGTCGTCGGGCATTATATCCTTGCACTGCTCCAAGTGTTGGAAGCACGTCATTCTGAGTGCATGTCATCCTAACGTCCTGCCGAGTGCTCGTGCTATTTGTGCTTGCATGATTTGCATGAGCGTATGTCATTATGCATGGCTGTTGGATATTACCATCTCTGTGTTTTTCTCCAAGTCTACATGCTTGATCATGCAGGAGAAATCCAGAGCTTTCCATCGATACCAAGATCGCCTTATTCCGACCAAGATCGCCCAAGTTTCAAGAATTCCAAGACTTGGATTTCTAATTACCTTTTGGGGTTATACCTAATTTGGGTGATTTCTTGGGGCATGACTATAAAGGGGTTTTTGGTTGGGTGGTTAGGGAAGGCAACTTTGACTTTTGGATTGGGGTGGCTAGAAGTTTCTAACATGGGTTGCAAATTTTGCAACACCTAGGCAAAATCCAACTAGATTGGATTTTGCATGTGACACCTCAAGAACCTCATGATGAGGGTTGGATCCTTGCTGCTAGAAAGGTTCCTACCATCCTTCCCTAGCTCTTGGAGAACCCCTTCCCTCTCATGGTTCTCTTGGAGTCCCCAACTCCAAATTC